GTTTGTATTATTTTAAGGATATTGATTTACCAAAATTTCTATTTTATATTTTACATTCAGCAAACTATGATATGTTACACAGACATAACAAGAACGTAATTTTGTTGGATAAAATGCAAGCAGTGGAGGATTGTATTGTTGAATCAACGCTGACTTGTCCATGTCATCGAAAATTCTCGGTAGACCTTCTTAATGTCGTTACAGTTCTGCGATTCTTCAACAGCTCGATGCAGTTTCCTCGTCACGTCCATCGTACCATCTTAAAATAGCGATCTCGAGATGTGTCACACTTCCTGATCACGTCGTCATCATCATCCTTGGCCCTTAATTTCCCGAAACTTTCAACATATACTTAAATGTTTTTCATGAAAATCTAAATCTAGTATGATTATGGCATTAACTAATGAATGCGAAAAAACATTAATGTAATTATTATAAATTATATATTTATGATATGTATAATAATATAATTTATAAATCTAAAATTCCTAATAAATTTTTTAGGAGTTTCTTAATTGTAATTACAAACTGCAATTGCAACAATTTTGATATTATGCAAAATGCATTTTTGCAGAGATAAATAGCATAGATAAAGAGCTGAAAGAGAGAGAAAGTGAAAGGAGGTAAAATTGGAGGAAGATCAGGGTAAAGAGAAAGAGATGAGGAGGGAGGAGATGAAGGAGAAGGAGAAGGCGCAAGAGAGTATATACCTACGAATAGAGAAACGTGTGCTCGCGTATTCAGTTACGTTCGGTGCGTCGCAGCGTCGAGACGCTTCCGTGTTTTGTCTTACGGAGCATCGCGACGCGTCACGTTGTTCGCTCCATCATTTTGAAACGAGGGTGATTTACTCGCGAATTGAACAATTGAACGATTGATTAAGCTTTTCTCCTCTTCCTCTCCTCTTTCTTCTTTTCTCCCTCGGCCCTTCCTCCGCTTTCGACGCTCGAAAGAAGATTGTGAGAATGAAGAGCCGCACATGGATCCAGATGCGTATTGCATCAACGATTTATTAATCTTTTAGCAGGGAAATTGAGGATTAATAAAAAGAATTAGTGTGAATATTCTTAGTAATTCGAGAATCATATTGATTTCATTCGTACTTTATACTGTAGCAATTATTTTATATCAGTGCATAGTGCTTTTATGAAAGAAAAATATCGAAAAATAACTGTACTAACGTATATGTAAACTGATATGTGTCAGTGAATTCCAATGAAATGATCTCTTTTGGCAGAATCAAGTGTTATGAATGAAACTAATATTGATTTGTTTGAATATCGATATCTCGTTAATTTCGGTATTATAGCGACACATAATATATCTTAATTTAAATTCCGTTAAAGAAGAAAAAACCATAATTGAAAGGAAATATAATCATGTGTATGGTTGTGAATCGACAAGGAAGATTGAGGATTAAAAGTTAAAGATCAAGAAATCGATTTTAATTATATTCCGAATAGTGTGATTGCAATTATGCATTATCGCATGATGATGAAATGCAAAGTGTATGGTATAGGTGTAATTTGTCGTAAGGTGTAATAATCGAGGGAGGGTAGACTCGGATGACGCTGGGACGTCACGAGGGTCGCGACGACCACCGGCGGCATCATGGCGTGCATCAGGGCGCCGAGATCCGTCCGCGGTTCTATTGACGATATCAAGGCCGATTCCACCCGTAATGTCGTCCAGGTAATTCTCCCCTTCCGTTTGTATCTTTTTTGCCGAGGCCTATCAAATATCAAATATATTCGTAACAGCTTTACGAATCTTTCAATATCTCTTTACGAATTTACTATTGCGGTACTATATATTTTTGATGATGGAAAAGCAGCTGTATAATTAAATACGCTTAAAAATAAAATAATAAAATAGTCAAATTTAAATAAATAAAAACAAGATAGTTAAAACAGTCGTTTTGTGACATTTATTGAAGATAACAAATCCATAAAGCATTTATACATTGTATGTTTTGTAAACAAAATTTTGTCATAAACATCTTGATGAATATTTTATAATGGCATTTTGGATATTTTATTTTGCAACTTTTTTCAACACTGTTTAGGGATATAATTATTTTCTTTTACGATTATTTTCGATTATTTTTCAATAGCATTAATATTTCCAAGAGTTCTAGACAATAATCCATCTCATATTAAGACAAAATTACAAGCTGCATTAATATAATGCAGTATCTTACTATTTGTCTCAATGAGTTTCTATATGTATGTTCTACTCGATCTCACTTTAACACTCTCTTTAGCTTTCTCTCTCTTTACTGAAATACTCCGGGAAAGCCCAAAGATTCCATCCTGGGAAAGCGGGAAAAGAATCAGCGAAGCGGCGACCCCATCGCGGCCGCCGTAATAATGGCGACCTGAAATCACGAAGCAAAACCCTCCGCGTGTCCCTTCGTACCGCTCGTCTCTTTGCGCGCTCAAAAATAGTACGCGATGACTAACTCTCTTCTCTCCTCGCTCTCTGCGCTCTCACTAGCTGCTCCTGTCCTCCTCTTTCTCTTCCTCTTCCTCTCGTCTGTACGACAACCACGTTTGTGTCCCCTTGCGCTTTCCATCGCCCAGCGCTGCGAGCGAATGCGCGCTCGCATCGCATCTTCGCGGTGACTCGAGAGCCGCGCTCGCTCGCTCGCTCGTACGCTTGCTCACGCTGAAAAGTCTGGCGCTTCGCCAGCGCGGTAAACGCGTCAGGACAATTCATGCTTCCGCGCGTGATTTATGTCCCCAATGCTTGCTTATAGAAACAAACGTATAAAAAATTATCACATATAAAATTTCCTGAGAATATATAGGAGCTCTGTAATCACGTTCGAGAAATATTGGATAATTAAATTTTTTTGAGAAATATTTTATTATCGTTGTATTCTTTTTTGTTTAGATATATATTGGAAAGTATAGCACAAATTATAATACTATATAAATATGCGACAGTATAATCATGTTGCTTTAAACGATGAAAAGACTTACAAAAATATTTATAAGAAGAATAATTTAGATTTTATGAAAAATCATGAAATCTAAAAACATACATATTAATGAAGACTTTATACATTGTTTAATTTTAAACAGAAACTGTATTTTTATGTCACACAAAAAATATTTAAAAGTATAGTATGATAAAATAATATTGCAAAGCAATTGTAAGTGAAAAAATAAAAAATACAGTTGCAATATTTTTATTGCCGAATAAAAAATAAACTTTTCTATGCTAATATGAAAATTCACGGTACAAAATCTTATAAAGTAATTAACAATAATAACGCAAATGCAATTCGAAATATGTATTCAACGACAAAATGTTAAATATCTGAGTAATCGATGGTATAAATTTACCCGAGAATATTATTCTTGTCTATTTGAATATCCGACAAATAAATATGGAACACGATGACAAAGTTGTGGCAGTCAAGCACCTGCGGTGCAATAAAATATCAAGTGAAAAAAGAGAGAAAAAAGAAAGAGTAGAAGGAGGGAGGTTCGCGTGTTAATAAACGTAAGTGTACACGCACTTGCACGGGGTTGCAATCAGCGGGAGATAACACCCACGCATATGACGTATAGGTCGCCGCGTATGATGGAAATGCAAATGGATGCGTCGCGCGTCGCGCTGTTTTCACCGAAAGGGAAAACGACAGAAAAAGAGTTCGCGGTGCTTCGCGGTCAGCTGCAAATGCGCGCATTCAATTTTGTCGACACACGCTGGGCACCTGTCGCGCATTACGTGAATAACTGTCTTCAAGTCCATCGAGACTTGCGATGTCATCAACGACACGCTAATTGAAATTTTGTACGGCGATCGAAAATTTGCCGTAACTGATACGATTTATAACATAATTAGAGTGATGCAATAACCGAGATTTATGCTCTAATTAGAGGTGCGACTTGGATGTCGTGATTGAGCCTCATAATTGGCGACGTAACGACAGAAAATTTAAATTGCGATAACATATTGCGTTAACAAGGAGAGGATATGACTCGGCAACAAATTAACCTTCGATGTAATAATAAGATAAATCAAATCGCAAGATTGCGACAGCAACGTGATAGACTTCCGAAGTGCACTTTGCCCGTAAGTGCTCGTTAATGCACTTCTTCGCATCTTTAATCCACTCACTCGCTATGAAATGACTATGCACGATGCATATAATTTTCTTATTTGACATGTGTATAAGTTCTTAAAAGATATTTCTTGCTAAGATTTTTATTTTATTTTATGTCTATTGGAATTTTTAAATAGAATTTAGAATATAATTTTTTAAATAAAATCTAAGAAAGATATTGTATACTATTACTATTTGATTGTAATTTGTTTATTCTTGTTGGAATTTTATTGGAATATAATATACAGAAAAGGAACGAATGTGTGTGTTTGCACGCGCGCGCGCGAAAAGAATTTTATTTGTTATTTTCGTAAAGATAAACGTGCTTGTAGAACTGAAGCGAACAATGAAGAAATAATAACCAGCATGCAGCCGCGAGACGAAGAAATAATAATCGATCAATCGACCATTAAAGTTTGCTCCTCCATGATATGTTTGCTCTCTACAAGCTATTCGTTACTTGTTCCACTCTTTTTCTTTCTCTTGCGATAGCCTTTAATTCATCGAGCTACGATCTCAAGAGTTAATCGATCAACTATAATCATTGCCGATGAAACACGACGTAATTAAGAATGCGTGCAATTTTCCGCTTTGTACTTTAACAAGTAACTCTGAATACTTAATTCATTCCGCGTATTCTTTTTTTTATTAAGAAACAAGAAATAATAACGAGAAGTATAATACATTGTAAATAAAGGAACTTAATTTTAAAATAACTTCAAAACTGTACGTATTAGTGCGTTACGAAGAAACAATAAAAGAGAGAAGAAAATAATTTAAAAAAGATTAATTATAATACTAATGGCGTATCTCATAGAATATATTGTATATTGTATATGCGTGTATATATACTAATTTATATAATTTTTTGGTTGTTTTCTAGATCTACACAGATTGGGCGAATTATTATCTAGAACGAGGGGGTTGCAAGAGGAGAGTGACCGATCTTCAAGCTGATCTCTGTGACGGTGTCCTTTTAGCAGATCTAGTGGAGGCTGTCAGTAAGTATTTTCTGCATATTCTCTGTGCGTTTTTTTTCTTTCCGTTCCTTTTACAATGTTATTAAAAAATTTAAATTAAAATATTTATTAAAAAAGTAGTTGAAATGTTTAGAAGACATTTGTTGATTTACAAATTAATATTATTTATTTATTATAATTATTTGTATCTATAAATAATATAATATTGTGTATTAGAATGTATTTGTGTTTTATTTAACACAAAAAGTTTGGAAAACTTTGTATTAAATAAAAGTTGCGAAAATTTATTAATAAAAATTGAAGCGCAAAAGAAATAAGTAATGATGCGACATAAATCTGTGATCCGCCTAACAGTACTAAATCGTTTATGGCGTTAGACAGTTATCCATAACACATAAATTGACACTAAAGTCATTAGTGCATAGGGTACGACTGTCACGTGCCACACGCACGCGTATGCAATTCATTGCTTCCGTTAATCAATTAAACAAAAGAGGAATATCTTCTAAATTAATCTTAGAACATATATTACATATTCTAAGAAATTAATATACATTTTTCTTATTTCAGCTAATCAGAAGGTGATCGACGTAAATCGAAAGCCAAAAAGTGCCCAACAAATGGTGAGTATATTTTAAAACTATCGTACAGAACAATGTTCAATTATTATTATATTCAGTATTAAAATATGACTTTAAGAATGTTTCAATTACGTTATCTGTGTTTATCAGATAATAACAACGCTTAAGATAAAAAGTTCAAGTTAATTTTTAATTGCACAATAAATTGTGCATATATTATTGTTGCAATATATGTAATATGAATCATAATATTCTTATATAAATGAAAATATCTCAACCGTAGAATCATCTCTTAATAAAATTTAAAATAATATTGATTGTTTCCTCATTAGTTATGTGAGAGAATAAAATACCAGATTATAGATAAAAAGATAGAGAGAGAGAGTGTGTGAAATTCAACAGATTTAATATTTGATGCGCGGATGCTTCGAATCTTTCTCCGGAGAAGCAAATTTAAGAACCAGCTATGCACGAGCGCAGTCCTTTAAAAATAGAAAGCTCACAAGCTCACTCCTCTCTTTCCTCGCTTAGGATATGTAGATAAAATCCATGCAACTGTACATACGGTGCACCATAGATCACCGTCCGCATCTCTTTGAAATATGTAGAATAACGCGAGAAAAATAGACGCGATTATATCTTGCGGCACATTCTGACTTTCCTTAAAACATATTCTCTATATTTATTTTCAATCTTAAACTTTTAATTCATTTTTACGTCTTTAATTAAAATATTTATATTTATCCATTTGTTTATTTACTTTATTTCTAAAATTATAAATTTATTAAATATTATTTTCTCACTTTTAATTTTAGAATTATACAATTAATAGTTCCTTTATTCATTTCATTTAATAATTTAATTCTACTGTTATACTATAATATGTACTTTTATCGAAATCGTAATTTCTTAACATGTATGATTGACTTTAATTAATTTACTAATTAATTTTTAAATTAAGTACAAGCCATACACTAATAACTTTAGTCACTATATCTAAATAATAAACTTTCGAAGTCATGCATCTTTATGTGGGCGCGTATCTAACTTTGCAAGATCTAATTTTTCATCGTTTTAATGTGCGCAATAATCATGTTTTGCGATCGTAAGATAAATCTGTACTTCTGCTCCCAGAAAAACAATTATCTGGATTTCATTCAGCATTTTAATTAACATTTTACGGAAGCATTGCAGCAGGAATTCGTTTAGAATTGCGCCTTGCGTAACCTCTGACATGCACGTTTTATATCCGCGATTAAGTATTTTGCTTCCGTACAGACTCCGTCGTTCGCGGTTAATTAAACGCTGTTAATTATAGTGTCTCCTTGTGTACTCGTGCATAAATTTATCTCGACTACTTATTTCTTCTTCAACAGGCGTGACATTTTGATTGAGTTTTTCTATCATAAAAAAAATTAAATATTGTTCATGTAACATTTCCTTACAATTAAATTTTATATAAATATTATTTTAATATTCTTTGAAAATAGAAAATTGTTTAACAGTTTATCAGTCTCTAAGTAATTTATTGCTTAATGAAGAATAAAATTGATATTATAATTTAAAAAATTAAGTTTGAATCAATATCTTTTTGCTTTATTTAAAGATTAAAGGACTAATTATTATTTTTTATATAAATGCTACTTTAACACTTGACAAAAGGTTAGAGAATATCTGATAAAATTTCAAAATATCACGTATAGCTTCTTCTCCTGTAACATTATAAGGACTCTATTTTCACTGACAGTCCTTCAACTTGTATCCTCTGAGGAAGAGCATCGCACGTTGACTTAGGATTATGCAAATTGGAAACACGAGGTAGTATCGTCCTACAAAAGAGAGGGGGAAAGCGAGCTAGTAAGAGAGAGAGAGAAGAGAGAAGTGAGAGGGAGAGGGAGGGAGAGAGAAAGAGAGAGAGAAAAGAGAGAAGAAGAGAAGAGAAGTATAATTCGACTGCGTGTTTCGTCCCATCCATCCGGATGTGACGTGGCTCGCTTTCCCAGCGAGATCCACTCGGAATCCATAAAACACGCGTTTTTCTTCTTTTGTTTTTCTTTTCCTTCGATTCTTCTTTTATCCTATTCAAACATAATCCTCACACCCATAGTAAATATTGACGGATTGAAAATTAGAAGTATTCACGTTCTTCCATTCTGCTTTCAGTGTAGAAAATTTGTTTCTGTTGGACGTTAGGTAAAACTTTATTAAAAAATTAGATGCAATAAAAAATATATATAAAATTTGGAGAGATTATATGCAGGATTGGGAATGTTACCTTAAAAAAAGTAACGCGTTACTGTATCGTTATTTTTTGTAAAATGTAACTTGTTACCGTTACTTTTTACTAATTTTTAAAATCTCGCGTTACCGTCACCGTTACTTGAAAAGCAACAATTCGTTACTTTTTTGTAAAATTTTAATTCATAGATTTATTTTATTTGATAATAATTATTATAAATGTAATAATAAATATTAAAACTTGAAACTCTAAATTAATCCGTATATAGAGCTAGTTTTTCTTTATACTTATTTTTATAGAAAGTTAAATTAAATTCATTGTTTTTAAATATATTAATGCCATGTCATTATCAGCAGCATTTATCCAATATAATATTCACTATTAGTATTGAAAATCTATAATATTTATATATGTAATGTGAATTATGGGTTTTCAATACTGGTAGTGACTATCGAAATGTAGCCTACGAAGTATAGAGTACAAAATATTTTTTTATTTAGTATAGAGTACAAAAATATATTATAAAATAAGAAACTAAAAAAAACCAACAATGACAAAAATAACGCAAGTTTGTAACAATTATTGTAAAAATGTAACGACGTTACCGATGGAAAAAAATAACGATAACGGCATTACAAATAACGCGCGTTACTTCCCAATGATTCTGAATATATGCATAGATAATAGAATGTAAAAATGACAGTAGAATTTAATTTTATTATGGATAGTTGAACAATATTACGAACAGTTTCACGTCAGTCTTCAGTTTTTGACAGAGACTCTATAGTTTACTAGGCCAGGAAACTTTGCGCGTAGCTTCTAATAGCCATAGTATTTGCTTTGCTAAGTACTCCATATTACTTCAGAGTTTAGTTCAGGGTAGTACTTTGAGGGTACAGACAACGTAAAGCTCTTCGAAGTCTTTTCTCGAGTTTCGTTCTTACCCTCGATCGAGCGAACGGCAGAAACGAGTCTATAGTCAGCCTCGTAGACGTCGTCTTTCCAATTTCGCGGTGTCGAGGGTGGACGTTAAGGAAAGGAGAAGGGCTCCAGTCTATAATTAAAGCAAGCCGAGCACACGCGCCACGTGTACAGGGTGATTCACGTAAATGATAAGTAAAGATAATTCATCGAGGCAAAGAAACGTAAACTCGATCAGTCGATGTTCTTTCTTCAAAATTTTTTAATGTTAAAAACATTTTATGTCAATAATTTTAATATATAGAGCAGAGAATCTAAAGTATAATTTTATTTAACAAGTATATATTAAATATTTTGTTTAATATATGCATAATAATTATTAAATATTATGTAATCTTGAAAAATGTTGAATTCTAAAAATTGAACGTGTTTCTTATTTATTTTTATGTTTTTTTAATTGATATTTTTTTTGTATTTTAAGCGATTTGTGAAAGAGCTTGTAACCAACTCGAATCACGTGTTTTCCTTTCGGAACCACGCTCAACACGCGACTTGCAACTCGTCGTCGGTTTACAACTTATACGCACTCCTGCCACATGTACAATAGCGTACAGAACGAAACGTGCGTTCTTCGTTCGCTACGTAAACCGGAAGTCCGATGATTGCACAAATCGGCGTGCAGCATTATACATGCCAACGTACCTACATGAAGATGCAATCCATTCTCTCATTTCTAATCTCATATCATATCATATCAGTCCTTTCAAAATAATGATCTTTATTCATTGAAAAAATGATCTAAAATTGGATTATAAAAGAGATTAAGAAAAATATATAGATTTTAACACCAATTAAGGGAATTTAATAGTTTATTAAAAAAAATTTTTTTTAGAATAAAAAGAAAATCTTAATTATTTGTAAGTTCAGATTCTCTTCTCTTTTGTTAGGTTTTTTGGATTGATTGTGGATATTCAGATAAAAAAATGTTAATATTCTACGTCGAAAAATTTGCTTGTTTTTCTCTAATGCGCATAAACTCGGTTCCATGGCAGAATCGGGCTGGTTCTCATCTTCGCACTATCTTTCGATCATCAACGTTGTTTTGATGATTAAAAGAAAGTCGGTAAAACTCAAACTAAACCGGAATCGGCGCGGCGTCTTTGGCTAGCCAGTCGGCTCATTGCGATCTATTTCTATTTCGCGGATAATCCACTCTCTCTCGAGATAGTGAGGATGAGTCATTTCGTATATATTAGTCAAGCACTACGCGCTGTCCCTAATTTCTCCAGGGTGACAATTTATAAATAATATAGATTGTTCTAGATTTTGTTTGTACTATTATTTACAAGTAAATTTTAATAGGGAATTAATTGAAGACATTTCAGAGAACATTTCAGAGAAAAAACAATTTAATTGTGAAATAACATAAAAATTTACTTCAATAACTTCTTGATTTAAATATCTCTAACAATATAATTAGTAATATATGTTGAAAGGTATTTTATTGTTAAGTATATGAATAGTTTATGAGTCGAAAGAAAAAGTTTATAGAATTAGGATATATAAAAAAACAAATCTGATGGATAATGTATTAGAGTGTTTTAATTTTATAATTATTATATTCACAAACAAGGAACGTGGAATTGTAATGCAATTTATCTGTAACAAGGTAACACTGAAAAGTCCGAAACCTATATACGCATTTAAGTAAACGTAATTTGATGAGCAAACGTTCAAAAATTGATTACTTAATTGTTCAGATTAAACAAACGCGAGCAAGTGTTAGGAGAAGCATGCGGGGTGCTGATGGTAGAATGTCGAAAACGTCGTCAGTACGTCACAGGTGTCCCAGATACGAGATAGTACATATGTACTGTGCGAG